GTCACATGGGAAAAATGATGAAAGGTCTAGAAAACATGACCTCACAAGGAAAGCCAGGGAAAAAATGGGTTTGTTTATTACGGAGAAGAGAAGACTGAGGGGGGACATGGCAACCATTAGGGTTACCATCCATCCGTATTTCCCCGGACATGTCCGGCTTTTGTGTCTTTAAATAGCCGTCCGGGAGGAATTGGTAACAAGGTTAAAAGGTCCGGGATTTTTACCCCTCCCCTCCATGCAGAGTGCGGCGTGGTGATTGGGCGGCTGGGCCTGATTGAGCCGCTCCCATTGGCCTCCAGCAGCCAGAGCCCCTCCCCTGCTCCCCCCCGCTGCCTGCAGCCCGACAGCATGTTTTGCCTACACGTGGAGCTAGCATCTGACCGGCATGGGCATAGTAAGGGGAGTCCCGGGGGGCAGTCAGGGAGCAGGGGGAGGGTTGGATAGACCTGTCTGGGGTGGGGGTGTGAATATGGGGTGGGGGGGAGGCGGGTTATATTCTCTTGTGGTGCCCGAGCTCCAGCAATATCCAGGGCTGGGGGCCCTGCTCCAGCAATATTTGGAGCTGGGTCTCTCCCCCGGCCCTGCCTGGAGCGGGCCCCGGCCTCCACCTGCCACCCCCGCTCCGCGCGTCCTCCCCCCGCGGGTCCCCCGTCGTCCCTGGCCGAAAGAAAGCAGCGCGCTCCTCTCCCCTGCCTGCTTGTGCACATTCCTACCCTGCTCCAGGCAGCAACTGCTGTCTGCTGCCCCAGGGTCCTAGTGCTCCCCATCCACTAATGGCAAGGCAGGCTGCCCTTACCCTGCCCTTCCACCCTAGCCCTGAGCCTCTCCAATGCCCCAAACCCCTCATCCCCAGCCCTCATCCCCCTGCACCCTAATCCTCTGCCCCAGCCCTGAGCCCCCTCCTGCATCATGAACTCATCATCCTCAGACCCACAGCCCTCACCCCTGCACCCTCTCCTATCCCCAAACTCCGTCCCAAACCCCCTCCTCCTTCCCACACACACCCTCCTGCCCTCAAATTCCCTCCCAAAGCCTGCACCCCCTCCCTTTGCACCGCCTCCCGCCCCCAAACTCCATCCCAGAGCCTGCACCCCTCACCCCCTCCTGCACACCCACCCCTTGCCCCAGCCCAGAGCCTGCACCCAGCACCCAAACTTTATCCCAGAGCCTGCACCCTGCACCCCTCCTGCACCCTAATCCCCAGCCCAGGACCTGCACCCCAGACCTCCTCCCCCCCACCCAACCCCCCTCCCAGAGCCTTAGGCAGGTGCGGGGGGGGGGGCGGGTTCTGGGCACCACCAAAATTTCTACAAACCTGCCACCCATGCGGGCAATCAGGGGACAGGTAGGGTCCTAGGGGGGCAGTTAGGGTGGGGGGTTCTCAGGAGGGGGCAGTCAGGGGACAAGAAGCAAGGGGGGGTTGGGGGTTCTGAGGGGGGAAGTCAGGGGGTGGGAAGTGGGAGAGAGTGGATGGGGCGGGGCAGGGGCGGGGCTAGGGTGGGGCTAGGGCAGGGCTCCCCCCCCTCCAGTGTCCTCTTTTTTGATTGTGGAAATATGGTAACCCTAGTAACCATCTTCAAGTATGTAAAAGATTGTTCTAAAGAGGAAAGTGATAAATTGTTCTCCTTAACCACGGAGGACAGGGCAAGAAGTAGTGGACTTAAATGGCAGCAAGGGATATTTAGCTTAGACATTTAGGAAAACCTTCCTAACTGTCAGGGTGGTTAAGCACTGAACAAATTGCCTAGGGAGGCTGTGGAATCTCTGCCTTTGGAGATTTTTAAGAGCAGGTTAGACAAACACCTGTCAGCGTGGTCTAGATAATACTTAATCCTGCCTCAGTGCAGAGGACTGGACTAGATGACCTATTAACGTTCCTTCCAGGTCTACATTTCTATGATTCCATAGCATGATTTCTGCTCCCTGACTGGATAATGGTTGCAATTTAAGTGTGGGGTATTCAGAAGCCCTCCGAGCTTGTCTAACTCGACCCTTGTCAAGGTCAAGGGGAGTTTTACGTCAATGGACCCTTGGTGATGCACACCAGCTGAGGCTCTGGCCCCGTGTTCTTTGGGCAAGCAGACATTGCCAAAACCACGGGAAGAATCTCTTGATTTTAGCATTTAAAACAGCTGGTAGGTATAATTTAGACCCTTGGTTTATCCCAGGGGTCGGCAACCTATGGCACGCATGCCGAAGGCGGCACGCGAGCTGATTTTCAGTGGCACTCACACTGCCCGGGTCCTGACCACTGATCTGGGGGGCTCTGCATTTTAATTTAATTTTAAATGAAGCTTCTTAAACATTTAAAAACCTTATTTACTTTACATACAACAATAGTTTAGTTATTTATTATAGACTTATAGAAAGAGACCTTCTAAAAACGTTAAAACCTATTACTGGCACGCAAAACCTTAAATTAGAGTGAATAAATGAAGACTCGGCACACCACTTCTGAAAGGTGCCGACCCCTGATTTATCCCTTCACAGGGTTGTGACCGCATGGGGGAGGGACAGCCTCTGGATTTTAAATAGGGTTTTTTTGTTGTTGTTGTTTTGCATGTCAAGATATGTGGTTTTCCCTATGGAAGTGTGAAGGCCCAATATCGATGCTCATAAACCATCCTGGAAGGAAAAATGTGAGTCGTTTGCTGCTAGAGAACAGCCTTAAATTAACAACTGAAGTAGTGTGGGTTCATAAAACTAGTGGGGTTTTTTAGCCTTGACGACAGAGGCACTTTAAATCCTAGCCTTCCGGTTCACTGATCCGCTAGAGAACAAATGTAAAACTTTAGTGAGAAGGACCCGAAATCAGGGTATATTTTTGTTCTGTGATAATTCAAGGTTGCCCTTTTGGTTTTACTCACAAGTTATGACATTTTCTTTTCTTTTTTTTTAACGATCTGCATAGCTGGAGAAAAATCTTATCACCTTGACATTGTGGAAGGGGAAATGATTTACTGTGGTATTCAAGCTCATCTAGATATTATCATCTGCAGGGGGAACAGAGAGCAGAACGTTTGAAATGGAAAGATTGGCCCACGTCACATGTGTCACAAGAGCGACACTTCATAGAGGGTCAGATTCTGTCCTCTTTGCATGTGTTGCACAAGGTTCATGCACTGCTCTGTTGTTTCCATCCATTTAAGATGCCTTTCCACTGCCAAAGCAATGCATTGGGGCCTTAGTGTAAATGAGAATAAGGCCCATTGATTTCCATTGGTGGAGCATGCGTGGTACAGATTGCCGGTCCTGATTCAGCAAACCACTTAAACACATGGTTAAGTTCCATTCAGATCAATGGAATTTAAGCATGGGTTTAAAATGGAGGACATGCTTATATGTTTTTCTGAATGAAGCCTATCGCAAGTTGGGATGTCAGAATCTGACCCAGGAGGAGCAGGAATAGAGCCTTCCCATTGACCACTGGGGTTGTTATAGATTATCCCTCCATTCTCTGGGGCCCAGACACCCCGTTCTGCTGCTCCTCATCAGTTGCTTGAAGGATGAATGCTCCCTGGGGGACTTGCTGTAATTCCTCACTAAGGGGCAGGCACTCTGGGCAGGACTGACCTTTTCCTGCACATCTCCTCAAAATAGCTTAATCACGTCGCTAGCATCTGCTCCATGATTACATGGCAAATTCCACTGGCTGAATGGTAATCAGAACCTCTTCTCATAGGTCACTACACCTGGGTGCCAGTAATTATTTGTTCAAAGATTAACTGTATTCTGGCAACCATTTAACTCCCCAGCAAAAATGTCATGTCCCTGCTCTTTAATGACACAACACTTCCCAGGGAATGCCTTGTGACTGCACCTTCATTCAGGTTACCAGCTGAGCTGTTGGGGGAGGGATGGGACTTGTGGTGGCTAAGGTTTTGTAAAGCTCTCAAGCTGGTTTTAGCGCTTGCAAAGCCAATTTGACCCAAGCAGCTGCCGTGTGTATGGTCTATATATTGTAGCCTTTCTTCTCTCTTGCCCTGCTCTGCTCCTTTGCCTCTTTCTCTGAGGGCATGTCTTCACTACCCGCCAGATCGGCGGGTAGCGATCGGTCTATCGGGGATCGATTTATCGCATCTAGTGTAGACGCGATAAAATCGATCCCCGATCGCTCTGCTGTCGACTCCGGAACTCCACCGCAGCGAGAGGCGGAAGAGGAGTCGACGGGGAAGCGGCAGCGGTCGACTCGCCGCCGTCCTCACAGCCAGGTAAGTCGACCTAAAATACGCAACTTCAACTACGCTATTCGTGTAGCTGAAGTTGCGTATCTTAGGTCGTCACTCCCCCCCCCCCCCCCCCCCCCCCCCCGGGCGACCCCGCCCGCGCCTCTCCCCCTCTGTTTGTGCTCTCCTTCATTTTTCACCTTTTTTTCCTGGATTTTGCCCTGTCTACATCCTTTTTTACAGCGTCCCCTAAGCAGACCACAAGCCCAATGACCTTTAGGAAGGAATTTCGGACACAGGCTGTTTGAGAAAGTTTGAAATTAGGCAAAACAAGTTTCCCCAGCTGACATGAGTATTTGCATTTTGTGTGTGAGCGCATGCGCAGGTGGGCGGAAAATAACGATGGGCCAAATAATATATGGAGATATACCTATCTCATAGAACTGGAAGGGACCTTGAAAGGTCATTGAGTCCAGCCCCATGTCTTCACTAGCAGGACCAAGTACTGATTTTTGCCCCAGATCCCTAAGTAGCCCCCTCACGGATTGAACTCACAAGCCTGGGTTTAGCAGGCCAATGCTCAAACCACGCGAGCTATCCCTCCCCCCCTCAGTCCAAGCTCTCATGGAAGCAAATGGAATTTGTGAGTGAGCAAGTAATGGAAGGTTTAGTCCATCATTATATCCACCATCAGTGCTGCTCCCGTTGGTGACCTATTTTGCCACCTAAGAACGACCGCTATTTAGGCAGAAAGAACTCCTGGCTCTTTCTAACAAGCTTGGACGCCTTACAGGAAGGAATTGTGTTCTCAGGGTTTATTTATTTACTTTGCAGGTTCCAGCCAGCAGCAGGTTTGATGGAGAGGATCCAAGCTATTGCTCAGAATGTCTCTGACATTGCAGTGAAAGTAGATCAGATTCTCCGGAACAGCCTCATGAATGGGAAAGGTAAGAGTGCCCTGATGTTTCTGCCCAGTCACTGATTCTATATGCTGGGCAGGTTCACACCCTCAGGAACTCTTAAGTGCTGTACAGATGTTGTAGGGAAAAGTAGAAACAAGCCAACCACAATAGATTTGGATACGGATCCAGGAATTTGGATGCTGAGCTGAAGTTACCCAAATCACTTGTGTCTGCAAAATTAGGTTGGATATCTTAGGAAAATGGGCTGTTTGACAAATTTCCTGCTACTACTTCTGTCTGGCTCAGTGTGAATTTAGTGCTAGTGAAATGCGGGGATTTCCAGAGTAGGAGCAGCATTGGCCAGAGCATTGCTGAATGCACCTATTGCATCATCAATGTGCCTCAACTCTCACCTGGCGAGACCAGAGCTAGGTCTGGAAGAGGCGTTCAGTCTGCATAGTTCAGTTGAGATGTGGGCTATGAGTTTCCAAAGGGAATAGTGTCTTTGGGTCGCTCACTTTTTGGAGGCCCAACTTGAAATAACTTTTAAAGGGGCCAGATTTTCAGAAAGCAGATGCTTTAACGTGTCTCAAAAACTGAGGCACTTATCTATTCAGGAGACACTATCATAGGACCTAATCACATCAGCCACACTATCAGAGGCTCGTTCACCTGCACATCTACCAATGTGATCTATACCATCATGTGCCAGCAATGCCGCTCTGCCATGTACATTGGCCAAATCGGACAGTCTCTACGCAAAAGAATAAATGGACACAAATCAGACGTCAAGAATTATAACATTCAAAAACCAGTCGGAGAGCACTTCAACCTCCCTGGTCACTCAATTACAGACCTAAAAGTCACAATTATTCAACAAAAAAACTTCAAAAACAGACTCCAATGAGAAACTGCAGAACTAGAATTAATTTGCAAACTGGACACAATTAAATTAGGCCTGAATAAAGACTGGCAGTGGATGAGTCATTACACAAACTAAAAACTATTTCCCCATGTTAATTCCCCCCCTACTGTTACTCACACCTTCTTGTCAACTGTTTGAAATGGGCCATCCTGATTATCACTACAAAAGTTTTTTTTTTCTGATAATAGCCCACCTTAATCAATTAGTCTCATTAGAGTTGGTATGGCAACACCCATTTTTTCATGTATATATATATATCTTCCTAGTGTATTTTCCACTGCATGCATCTGATGAAGTGGGCTTTAGTCCACGAAAGCTTATGCTCAAATAAATTTGTTACTCTCTAAGGTGCCACAAGTACTCCTGTTCTTTTTGCTGATACAGACTAACACGGCTACCACTCTGAAACCTGAGGCACTTTTAAAAATCTTGGCCTTATCTTCTATGCTAGAGGGCAGTAATTGGTGTAGTGGATACCTGTCCCGGGGGGACTGGACTGAGACCCCCAACTCATTTCTCACTTTCTGAACAGCTGCTAGATAGCTCTATCTTGTGTATTTCTCAGATGCCTAGCACAGTTAGATGGTGTCAACTGAGCACTGATTGCTTTCAATTACTAGTGAGCTGGTTCAAAATTAAACTACTGTCTCTCCTAGTACTGATCCTCTGAGCCAACATCTCCTGACCCCAAGTGGAACACTCTGTCTTGTGGGATTTGGGCATAGCTCCATCTGGATCTGGGCCTGGCCAAAAGCTGGAAATGCAGAGGCACAGAAAAAATGAAAAACATGGAGGAAACGCATCAGAATATTTCAAATCTCCCAAATTATTCACTTTGGTTCCATTCACATTTTGGACCAAAGATCAGTGGTGGTGGTGGTGGTGGTGACGGTGGGGGGTTATTTTATCTGAGATGGTTAGCTCACATCTAGCAAAAATAAGAAAAAATCCATCATTTACTGGGTGCTACAGATGTGGGTGTGGTATCACTCCTCTGACAGCCAATTGGACTCATTGGGTGCCCTTGGATAAGCCATTTAACCTCTCTGTTTCAGTTTTCCCACCTGTAAATGGGAATAATAGACTAGAATAGAGCCTAAGAGCAGGGGCGGCTCCAGGCACCAGCGCAGCAAGCGCGTGCCTGGGGCGGCAAGCCGCGGGGGGCGGCATGCCAGTCGCTGTGAGGGCAGCAGTCAGGCAGCCTTCGGCGGCGTGCCTGTGGGAGGTCCGCTGGTCCCGCGGCTTCGGTGGCAATTCGGCGGCAGAAATGCCGCTGAATCTGCATGACCAGCGGACCGTCTGCAGGTATGCCGCCGAAGGCTGCCTGACTGCTGTGCTGGGGCGGCAAAAAACATAGAGCCGCCCCTGCCTAAGAGACTTTGGGGATTAATGAGTAAAGCACTATGTTCTAGAGCTGATGTAAACTGCTGGTGAGTGTGTTACAGGTTCCCCTCTAGGCCTGTTCTTCAGAGGAAACGAGTCTGTTACAGTCCCCATTAGCAAGCCTTGACATGTTAGCCCAAGCTGTAGCCGTTTACGCTTTCAGCTTCGGAGGTTCCTGATTCAATCCCCGGGGTGTTGACCAAGATGGCGGCTTGTCACACCGATATTCGGAATTGCAAAGCCGTTTTCTAAGTAAGCACTAACATCCGGCATGGTGCATGTTCATAAGCCCATTTACATGCACCCTGGGTGTGCTAAGGCACTCTGCTGCAATTTATACCACAGCACGCTCCTGGAGTGTGTACATTGGCTGGCAAATGCAGATCCTGAGTGCATTATTGTGCTTCCAGTGCCGTTTATTGACATTTTTAATCAGGCAGCTATAATGCATTTATTTAATATTAATCTACCTAAGACAATAATCCCAAGTAGACACAATACAAAACCCTTGTCTTGTATCTGAGGGTGAGCACTTACATTCCTGTTTTTAAGCCTTGCCCATTCATTCCTTTTTTTCCCCTTCTTCCTTTCTTTAGCTCTCTCCCTCTTTCCTGCCACAGTGCAAATTCCAGTTGGCACCCCTAGAACTCCCCAGTTGGTCTTGGTTTCTTCTGGAGAACTGAGATCACCAGGAACCAGTAGCCAAAGAGACCTGGCCTGTACTTCTGTTCCAAACCCTAGTTGGCCAAGTGGAGCCAGCTGAGGATTTCAACCAGAACATCCACTGGGTCTTTCATCTGCAGCTGGTGCGGGCAGCAATCGGAATGAATGGAAGCAGCTGAAGCCCAGCTGGCTGAGCTGTTTGGTGGTAGTAGGGCTGGCAAGAGAGGCTGCACAGTCCTACTCCCCCACGCTGCTCAGCTCCACGGGGTGGAGCTCACAAGAGCGTCCAGAGCAGGAAGGAGCAGAGAGAGAGGATGAGGAAGGAGCTTTCCCGAGAAGCGTGATGATCTGCCTGGGTGTTGCAGTGATCTTCTCAATAAACACCTTTTAACAAAGCAAGCTGGGATCACTGCATGTCACACTGTCGCCCCTTTGTCTTCCCTTGAAGCTGGAGCCGTTGCCTTGCTGACTCGAAGCCAGATCTTTAGAAATTGCAAATGCGCTTGATTAAAAAACTCCCAAGATTAATGCGGTGGGCACAAGAGCATAGCAGTGCTGGCTTCCTCAGCCTGCACTCAGCCCGTCCCCAGAGTATGAAATATTTATCATCCTGCTAATATTTCTTCCTCCAGCCGTGGAAGCTCAATACACCGAACAGCCCCGCCTAGCCCCCTGATACCAGGAGAGGTGTAGATGAGGCAGTAAAATATTGTCCGTTCATGTCCTAATATCAATGTTTAATGCCCATCTGTATTATGGAGCCAGGATTCCTAATGAACAGGGGCAGCAGAGACCTTATTTAACATTAACAGCGTGAGTAACTGCCTGGGTGTTGGCAGCATGTTAAAGAAAACAATTGGAGCACGTTGTACATATCTTATTGCACCACTGTCTTATTTCTTCTCTTTACTCTTTGGCTTATCAATAATGGATGGCAGTCCAAATTTGATCCAGGTCAGTAATGACTGAAACTTATTACCGTCTGATAGCTGCTCAGTGAAAAATGAGTTGGCCATCTCTGTCGACTTCCTAATTAACAGGTGCTTGCAACACCAAAATCATCTATCTAGCAGTACGTCTACAGTCGGAGCTAGAGGGGTGTGACTCCCAGCTCATTTACACATACGTGCACCAGCTCTCATCGAGTTAGCACACTAAAAATAGTAGTGCAGCTGCAGTGCCACAGGCTGCAGCAGCAATGGCTCAAGCTAGTCGCCCCAAGTACAAACGCACATGAACTCTGCGGGTACCTCTTTGGGTGTGCCTCTGCTGCCTGGGCTACCGCTAGCTCAGATGAGAGCTAGTGTGAGTATGTGTGTGCGAACTGGGAAGCACACCCCTAGCTCATAGTGTAGATATACCCAAAAAGTTAGGTGGCCCTTTTAGAAGGGATTCAGGTCCAACTCTGCCCTGTTCCTGGATTAGGCCCTGGTTTGAGGAATTCTGGGAGTTGTAGTTCCCAGGGCTGATGAGATCTGTAGGCTTTACAGGCTTACAGCAAGGAATTCTGGGAAGGGAATCTGTATATAAGAGGCCATGGTCTCTCACAACAATGACAGTCTACTGAATCACCCAATAGAGGGAGACTTGAGCATGCAGGAGACAGAATTTCAGAGGAGCAAAAGCTAGTCTGTGAAATTCAGTTACACAAGGGGTAGGAATGACCATGGCTCTAATCACGCTCAGAATTAAATACCAAAATCAGATTCAGTCTAACCTTCACATTATAAGTACCCCCACATCCCCCCTCAAGCATTTTATTCCTACCTACTGGGGAAGAAAAAAAGGAGATTACTGTTGTGTATTTTTAATACTTGGAAAGTCATAGAATCATAGAAGATTAGGGTTGGAAGAGACCTCAGGAGGTCATCTAGTCCACCCCCCTGCTCAAAGCAGGACCAACCCCAACTAAATCATTCCAGCCAGGGCTTTGTCAAGCCGGGGCTTAAATCCTCTAAGGATGGAAATTCCACCACCTCCCTAGGTAACCCATTCCAGTGCTTCACCATCCTTCTAGTGAAATAGTGTTTCCTAATATCCAACCTAGACCTCCCTCACTGCATCTTGAGACCATTGCTCCTTGTTCTGTCATCTGCCACCACTGAGAAGAGCCGAGCTCCATTATCTTTGGAACCCCCCTTCAGGTAGTTGAAGGCTGCTATCAAATCCCCCCTCACTCTTCTCTTCTGCAGACTAAACAAGCCCAGTTCCCTCAGCATCTCCTCGTAAGTCATGTGGCCCAGACCCCTGATCATTTTCGTTGCCCTCCTCTGGACTCTCTCCAATTTGTCCACATCCTTTCTGTAGTGGGGGGTGCAATACTCCAGATGTGGCCTCACCAGTGCCGTATAGAGGGGAATAATCACTTCCCTCGATCTGCTGGCAATGCTCCTACTAATACAGCCCAATATGCCATTGGCCTTCTTGGCAACGAGGGCGCACTGCTGACTCATATCCAGCTTCTCATCCACTGTAATCCCCAGGTCCTTTTCTGCAGAACTGCTGCTTAGCCAGTCGGTCCCCAGCCTGTAGCGGTGCATAGGTCCTCAGTGACCTGCAGTGAGGGGTGTCAGTATAAAAACCTTGATAGATAGAGTGTTGTATCCAAAACCAGAAGGGGCTGAATTTCTGCTTCAGATAGTACTGAAATATGAGAACAGTTTGTCTCACAAGACTTCTGTAATTCAAGATGTCAGAAATTCCCCAAGATCAATTCTTGCAGGAGTTCTACCATTTGGGGCTTAAATCTTGCAAGAACAGCTTGGAAGATTTTGGCAGCATAGGCTACAAACCCGGACGTCAGCCCCAATTGTGCCTTGAACCCAAACCCTGAGCCCAAAGCCTAAAGAGAGTGCACATAGCTCCTTTGGGCCCACCTGTAGTTAAAATAGATCCTGGACTAATAACACCATTAGTTAGTTGGGTGGCCTCTCTCTAGGCAGGTTGCTAGAGTGCATGTGTCCCACTGGAGGTCTGGTGCTTTACACCCACTCTGTGTTGTTTGTCAGTGCCTGTTTCAGAACTCCTACTCCGTGTGTGTGTGTGTAAGCTATTCTGAGAGCACAGATTGACCTGAACGTGTTGGCAGCACTAGCCCCAGGGGCGAGCTCTATATTTGACTGCTCAGTGGGACTGTTTGTTGCAATTTTACAGTTTGTGCCTGGAAGGCTGTCAAGTACGGCTTTAGATACAGAAGCCTATTTACAGATTATTAAAAGAATGTACAGGGAGTGATCAGAGGTTGGATCTGGAACTGGAGTTGCTCCCCCCTCTAGAAAATGGCCCGGAATTTGGGCTGAAAGAACAGGAGAAATACAAGCCAACAGAAGCATCAACCCAAACAAAACAAAAAAAAGCCAATATAAGGGAAATGTGATCTAGCATTTAGAGCAGGGACTGAAAGTCAGGACTCCTGGCTCCTACTACACTTCCTGTGTGACCTTGAGCAAGTCACTTTACTACTCTGTGCCTCAGTTTCTCTCTCTGGAAAATGGGTATTGTAAGGCACCTCCACCAATAGGTGGTGCTGTATCCTTATCTCAATGTTAAGTTTTTGTCTTCTATGTTTTTATGTTGTTGTATCTGATCTGGGGGTTTTAGCAGGATGTTCAGTTCTGTCTCTGTGCTGGAGCTGGTACTTGCAGTGTTCCAATAAATTCCAGTGATTCTATAAGCGGGTATAACAGCATGTGAATATTTCCCTACTCCACAGGTTTCACTCAGGCTCATTCAAGCTGGCAGGGTGTTTTAGAGGAGGCTTGTTCCTTTGTCACATGCACCACTAACAGCTGCTCAATTGCATCAAGTCAGAAGGATTGATTTTTGGGTGGTGAAAACTGAATGGCAGACCTTGACCACAGATCAGTGTCCTGCCCCCCAAGTTCTAGAATTTCCACTATTCTAAAAGTTTTCTACTTCTCCCTGTATCTGAATTCTCTTTCCACAGTGATAGAAGGCAGACGGGACCAGTGTGAGGTGCCCAGGGACCCCAAATACCCTGACTGCTCTGGAAAAGTGGAGGTGAGTCAGACACACCGAAACTGATTTTGAGGTGGTTTCCTATGGTCAGAAGAAAGCCAAGGACTGCGAGAGGTGCCATTTCCATCCTAACAACCCTCTTACCCAACGCCAGCCAGGAAAGGATAGAGATCTTCTTTCCCATTAGGTGCAGACTGGGTTAATCCCCATTTTTATGAATAAAATTGTGACTCCTCTTCCTGGGATCAGATCACCAGCTACCAATGGGCATGGTACCTCTTTCCCTTCTAAGTAGAGATTTTCATAATGCTATGGAGAGCAGAGTCTTCTACTGTACTTCAGGGCCTGGTGAGTTAATTTTTCCCCCCACTGTCCTCCTCTAAAAATAGATCTTAATGGTTGGGGCAAAAAAATGGTTGGACGGAAGCCATTGCCAATGGCAACAAAGCAACAGACATGCTAAACCCATGGGGAAAAAATGCAGAAATTGGGCTTGTTTTTGGCATAATTCACTTGTGAGTTGCTTGTTGGCTAGTTTTTGGCTTGTAGCTTGTTGCTTCTTTTTTTTGATTGGCTCCCGGCAAGCAGGGGCAAGTGGGGGCAAGCAGAGGCAAGGGCGGGAGTCAGGGGTGCACAGCGGGCCCACCACAGTCCCAGACTGCACGCTGGGAGAATCTAGTCACACGGAGTGTTGGGGTTCTTAGGGATTGGCTTGTTTTGGCCTTGTTTTGAAATGGGATTAGCTTGATTTTTGGCTTATTGTGAAAGTCGGGGTGCTTATTTACTGGGTGAAAGTCGGCAACTGTGCAAAGCAATTGCCAGGGTAAAACTGGAGAAGCAGCAATCCAAAGGGTGGATGGTTTAGGAAATGGCTGCTGATCCCTTTAAAACCAAGTAAAATTCTTTCTCTCTCTCTCGTTGTGTAAACTTATATCTGGTTCAGTTACCCTTCACACAGGAGAGAACATAATGCTCCCATTCAGAGTGCACTAGAGGATCAGGCAGCAGAGCACGTGGTGCGTGTGCTGTGGAGGGAGAGCGCAGAACAAAGCAACTCATTGAGGGTGGACAAAGAGATGGGCATCCTTTGTCTACAGTCCACTGGGTTTCCATGATTAATATGGCCCTGCCTTTATTTCTTGGTGAATTATTTAAGCATGAAGCCATGTAAGGGAAAGAACCATCACATGTATTTATTTATTTTTTTAATCTGGAGCATTATCGAGGGTCTGGGAAATAATTTAGGCATCACAAAGGACATTGTATCTCATTAAGGCAATGTGACACTGGTCTCAACTCTTAACACCGCTTGCTCTCTGCACCTGAGCGTAGCTTTGGCATTTGGCCTGGGGCAGGATGCTGCTTTGGCAAACGGTAACTTTACACGAACTAATTAAAAGCTCGCCCAGCCTCCTACTTCAGACTTCACTTAAAATTATGCCTTGCTGAGTCCACGTGAAAAAATATTAAAGAGCTTATTAATAGGATAGCACAGTTACATTATCCCTTCTCCCTGTGCTAACCATCGTTTTCTTCCATCTTCTTCCATGCCTTGGTTAAATTTTGAGTGTAATTTAATTGCCAAAAGCAGTAATGCGATCTCCTGTCTGGATGATTGGTGAGTTTTAAATATTGGGCACGAAGACCTGTCTCCTCAGTGGATTCGTTTTTGTAGCTAAATTTAGAAAGAGGCTGGCACAAGCAAATTCTAGAGGATGAGAGATATGCGCTGAGGTCCTGCGTGTATTCTCTTGCATGCAAAATCACTCTCTGGGAAGTCTAGTAGATCTCTGTCTTCTCGGCTCCTCATTCTCCCAGAGTTTATGAAACCTGGAGGTCAGTTCACTGGTCAGGAAGAAGGAGGCACCATGGTATATCATTATTTTGAATTTCCTTGCCCCTTGTTCCAGGCATTGGTGGTTGCATCACTGGAGACCTCAGGTATTCCGGCCAAAGCTGAGTGTAACCTCAAATCAAGAAGGCAGTGTCAGTTCAAATTCTCTGTGTTCGATCTTTATTTTCCCAATGTGATGGCTGAGGAGGTCCTGACCAAACACTCTGTAAAGACCACGGCCCAGATCCTCAGCTGGCGTAACTCAGCATAGATTCATTGATTTCAAGTAGGTGGCTTTCTCCATGGATCTACACTGATTTGCACCAGCTAAGGCTCTGGCCTATTATGTCAGTAATACCACTGGAAAGGCAATGTTTTATACTTATGCATGACGGTAACATTCAATCCTTCTATACTATGCATCACTGATGATGCGTTAATAAGAGCTGGATGGGATTTTTTTGGCAAAACTTTTTTTAGTTCAAAACTGAAACTTTCGTGGAAGCGTATTGTTTTCATTGCAACTTTTGTTGGGAAGGTTTCTCAGATCCAGGATGAAATTTCTGGTTAAAAGTAGAGACAAGACAGACCAGGGACTTAAACTTGGGCTTCCCACTTCCCACTGAGTGCCCTAAACACTGGGGTATTGGCTATTCGGATCTAGGTCTCTTGTGGGTTTTTATGAAACATTTTGAAAGGTCTAATTTTTCATTCCGATGTGGAACAATAACAAATATCAAAACCTTGATATTTTTCACAAAACAGAATTCTTGTTTTCCAGCCAGTCCTAGTGCTAGAAGGGTGGTCCTATACGTTACCCCTGCGGGTAGGACAAAGTATTACACTCTGATAGTTAAATAAATTTACATTTTAAGGACTGATTTAGGGGGAGGGATAGCTCAGTGGTTTGAGCATTGGCCTGCTAAACCCAGGGTTGTGAGTTCAATCCTTGAGGGGGCCATTTAGGGATCTGGGGCAAAAAAAATAAATTGTCAGGGACAGTATTTGGTCCTGCTAGTGAAGGCAGGGGGTTGAACTCGATGACTTTCAAGGTCCCTTCTAGCTCTATGAGATAAGTATATCTCCATATATAAATATATATAATTCCTTAGCAAGCCACAAGTTCCTGGAAACTTACACTATAGGGATAAATCAGGCTGCCAGCTGCACAAGTTATGGCCTAGGAAATATGGCCAAGAATAGTGTGACAAACTCCTACTCACATGGAAAAGTGCTATGGGATCTTTTGTAATGTAGATAGAAGAAAGCAGATGGAACAGAAATAGAACCTGAGGCCTCTATGCCAACACTACTTTCCCGCTTATATTTTCATGGCAAAGCTGGTTACAAAGCAGTTGTGTTTGTGTGAACCTAGTTTTACTGTGGGGGCTAATAATCCTAGGTCAAATGTGTATCCTTCTGTGGTGCCCATGTTTGGAAGTGAACCAGTAGTGCTGTTTGATGTGGGAAGTATAAGTCTTTGTAAGTTTCCTTCCATTTTATTCCCCCTGCCCCCAAGGTTCCACGTAGAAAGGTCTGGAAGGCTTCACAGTGGCCACCTAGTGAGCATCCTTAGATTTCTGCACAAGATGCCCGTAGCATAGTTCTCCAGCAGTGGGGTTTGCAGAGCTCGCCCCACTAATCTGTGTCTTTGCCTGTCTTGCAGTGGATGAGGGCCAGGTGGACGTCCGACCCCTGCTATGCATTTTTCGGCGTGGACGGCACAGAATGCTCGTTCCTCATCTACCTCAGCGAAGTTGAGTGGTTTTGTCCTCCGCTGCCTTGGAGAAATCAGACGGCAGCCATGCCATCCTCAAAGCCACCACCCAGAGGGCAGGTAAGGGCAGTGAGGGTCTGTGTGCCAGTCCAGCACCCTCCTTTAGGTGTATTCTTCTGTGGGCTGCTGGATTCAACGTCTCCAGGCAAGAGATAGAGAAAGGTCACGAGCTACAAATGGTGCCTAAAGAAAATCTGTATTAGAGGGTCTATCAGTGCAAAGAGCCTTGTATTACGGATGGCGTCTATGTCCATGTCAGACTGGAGATCGGATAGCATTTGTTTGGGTGAAACTGTGGCACTGTAAACCCCAAGCACATGCATTTATCTCTAACCTTAACACTAGCCATTCTTCCAGCATCACAGTAGGGCAGTAGCACCACTACAGTAAAAGCTGAGACTAGCATAGCCCTCTTACACTGACCTGAGTTCTCCTGAGTGCACTTGATCAGTGGCACCAGTGATCAACTGCTGCCCACTTAGAGATGTTTCCATGCATGGATGTAAGTTTCTGTAGCCTGCAGTGCCAGGGAAAGAGTTTATTTCTCCTTGGGGGAGCCAGCAGATAATCAGGAGACCCCAGTCGGTTAATGGGATGGGGAACACTGAGGTTTTGCTCTGGCATAATCCCTATGGGAGATTTTAAATGCTTCACCTGCCAAATCTTTCACCTGAAGATATTGGAGCTCTCAGCTGTCAACATGGCTCTGTAATTTCAGGAATGGAGTTTCCGTTTACTTCCAGGGTCCCATGGACACTTCTGGAGGAGACTATGGCCCAAAAAGAAGTCCCACTTAGCCGTAGGCTGGGCGGCCTAGGCTCCCACCTAAAGCAGGACTGTCCTAAAGTTGAGACTCTTCTCTTGCTCTCCTACGGGGCTCCTCTAATCTCACTTCGCTCCCTGCAGGGCCCAAGACCCATTCCAGTTCTGCAAGTCTGTTCTTCTCTCTGACTCTCTTCTGACACAGCCAAAGTGGGGAGCTGATGCCAATCAAGGGTGCAGTTCCTTCTGTGTAACACTTAAGGGCTGACCTTCCCTTACTATTCAGATCACCTTGCCCATGTGTTTCGGACAGATCAGCGAAAGGATGACTGCACTTGCTCCAGGAAAGGAGCCAGCCAGGCCAGTTTCAGACGGGGTTGTACTCAGCACAGCTCAGCTGTGCCTTCACTGCTGCTATCCGTACTATTGCGGCTACACTGCTATTTCTCCTAGCACTAGCATGATGAGAGGTTAAATGAATACACGAGCAGGGGAATCACACCCCGGCTCGTCATGTAGACATAGCCTAAAAAGCAGACTCTCTTTTTTTTCCTAGGCAGCTTTTCGGAGCAACCTCTCTTACCTCCTTGAGCTGATCGGGAGTGGCAAGGAATCCTTGATCTTCATGAAGAAGAGAGTCCGGCACTTGGCCTCACAGTGGCTTCTGGCAACCCAAAGCCTGGCGCAGAAACTGAAGGGCAGACGGAGGGATCAAAAACAGGTGAAAGATGAACGTAGGGAGAATTAGTCGTGGGCTGACGAGTCCTTTGCATTTGCCTCCAGAACCAGTTGCACTAACTGTAGAGCAATAAACTGGAGGCTGTTCAGGGTGAGTGGGAAAGGGCACTTTAGTGTACGGAAATCCCCTTCACGTCTAGCCTGTGTCCGTTGGGGAAATGAGTTTGGTTGGCCTTAGCGGATCATGTGCAAGCCTCCTAACTACCTTCAGAACACCTCAGCCCCCAGCTTCTGCTGAGCTGAAAGCCAGACTGAGTGGCTGGTATGGATTCGGTAGCCACATACTGCTTGTGCCTTTGGAGATTGCTGGGGAGACGGCGATAGGTGTCATTCATGGGGAAGTGCAGACTAGGTCAGCATTCCAGCCACCTGCGCTAGGCTGAGCGTAGAGACAGACAATTCCAAGGCTTCTTGTTCCTTGTGTAAGTCACTCACCGATCCTAAAGTCCATGGGCCAAATGCTGAAGCACATTCTCATTCATCACTCAGGCAAAACTCCCACTGCAGTCAGTGGTCCTGATCCCAACTGGTGCTGAGCACCCACAATGCCCATTGAAGTCCATGCGGGCAGCAGGAGCTGGCCATCTCTGAAGAGCAGGCTTCTTGCTTTGATGCCAAAACATGGATTTAGTTGGGCACCCAAGTTTGGAAGAATCAGCCTGAGAGTTTTGCCTGGGTGAAGACTGAGTAAAACCCGAGTGAGGACCTTAGAGTTTGGCTCCCTGCGTAGTTTCTGTTGCACACCGTCCTCATGTCTGAGTGCTGCCTACACAGCCACATTCCATGTTGCCTGGGCCACAAGCGCATCATCCTCTCTCCTCTCTCTAGATCTTGATTCACATCGGCTTCCTGACGGAGGAGTCAGGGGATGTTTTCAGCCCCAGGGTGCTGAAGGGGGGACCTCTGGGCGAGATGGTCCAATGGGCAGATATCTTAGCTGCCCTCTTCGTTCTGGGACACAGCCTGAAAGTCACGGTTTCTTTGAAAGAGCTGCAGAGGTAAGCACCATGTTGATGCCCAAAGAAATGGTCCCAGCCAGTAGAGCGGGAGTCCCCCTGGGAGCAGGCTGGCATTGTCTGATGGGCTGTTGTTTGCGAACATGGGAAGGCTGTACCTCCAGGCGCCCAAGGGTTAGTTTGAACCATTAGGCTGTGGCTGTTGGGATTGCTGTGTGAGATCCCATAGAAATGTCTGTAGCAGCCAGACGCTTCACTTTGTTTTCCCATTGTCCTCACATTCAGGTCTCTCTGTCGTACCCTGCCACTCTCCTGGAAAGCGGTGTAGTCTGGAGGATGAGGAGTCAGGGACCCAGGGTTCTATTCTCAGCTATCACAGACGTATTGTGTTATCTTGCTCCATTTGCTTCCAGCTCTTTGTGCCTCTGTTTCCCCATATGTAAAATGGCTATAGTACTCTCTACCTCCCTCACATTAGCATTGTGAGGCTCAGATTTGTGAGATTGTCGGATGAAAGACTCTGCAAAGCATGACGCTACGTGTGCTGACTTAGGCCTTGCCTGGGAATTCACCCTGATTTCAGCACTGTAAACCCTTAGTGCAGACAAGCAAAGCCATGGTTTGCACTAGTACAGTTCATCCTGGCTTCCAGCAGGGGTGAGCAGCTGCATTGCAAATCCTGGCTTATAATAGTTTACACTAGGGCTTTCCACTGATACAATTGCACCATAACTGGTCTAGGGTTGCCAATTGTGGTTGGATGTATTCCTGGAGGTTTCATCACATGACATAGTTTTTAATTAAAGATTAATCGTTAATTCCTAGAGACTCCAGGACAATCCTGGAGAGTTGGCAACACTAGACTGGGCACCAGTGGTTGATCTCCCCAGTGTAGACAAGGCTGGAGACATCCAGAGGCAGATCCTCAACTGGTGTAAATAGTCATAGCTCCAATGGAATAAACCAAAAGGGCACTTTCCTGTACACTCCTGGGTCAGACTCCTGGTGAGCTTTACCTCCCATTGCTCCACGCCAGTTATACCAGCTGATGATCTGCCCCCTGTATTACCCTAGCACTAATCATCAGTCCCTGTGGTTCTTGGTGAGCAGCTCCCTGCCATGCCAGCAGCTCCCCTTCTCTCACTTTCCTCTGTCCTCCGCCTGCACTGGGCAGAGGAGCCAGCCTCTGTCCAAGGATCACTCTTGTGAGTCTGGTTATGTATGAGGCCCAGGCTTGCTCCGGGTTCACCCCCAGGAGCTAGCCACTTCTCCTTCAAGCACCAGCTCTGCATCATGTCCTTCACACAGTGGGAGAGGACAGCGGGGGTTAGTGCACTGAGGTGTGTAGAGCAGAGAGACTATGGTCCAGGTGTAAATCATACTTGTGTAAATCAGGAGTAACTCCACTGAAGCTGGTTGAGTTACTTCGGTGTAAAATTAGTGTAAAGGAGAGGCGAATGAGGCCTTTTATGGTTTCTGAATTAACCCCATGCTAGGGAAAGATTCTGGCCAGACCTCTTGGGAGGCCCTGGGAGGTGAAGCTCACCAGGGGTCTGGCCCAGGAGAACACAGGAAAGTCCCCCTTTGGTTGTTTCAGACTCAGATTTCATTCGCAGTTGGAATCTTTCCGAACAAAGCCCCCAGAATAGCCGATATTAGAGCGGATGCAGATGCTGCAGGCCGGCTTGCTCCTCCCACTGTGCCATGGACATTTCAGTTCCAGTTCGCGTCTCCAGTGACTTTACTGGCATTGTTTTAAAGGCAGTAGCTCCATGCTCGTTAAGCCCATTCCTTCCTTCCTTCCCCTTCTTCCGCTGAAGGAGGAGAGCACGGCAGCTGGTGTGAGCTGTCAAAAATAGCACAAGAAGCTCAAGGGCAAAGCAAGGTGAACAGCTGCAAAAGAATCTTTGAAAAGAATTTTTAAGTACATGAGAAGCAGGAAGCCTGCCAAACAGTCAGTGGGGCCACTGGATGATCGAGGTGCTAAAGGAGCACGCAAGGAAGAGAAGGCTGTTGCGGAGAAGCTAAATGAATTCTTTGCATCAGTCTTCACTGCAGAAGTTATGGGGCAGATCTCCGCACCTGAGCCATTCTTTTTAGGTGACAAATCTGAGGAACTGTCCAAGATTGAGATGTCAGTAGAAGAGGTTTTGGAACAAATTGATAAATTAAACAGTAATAAGTCACCAGGAGCAGATGGTATTCACCCAAGAGTTCTGAAGGAACTCAAACATGAAATTGAAGAACTACTAACTGTGGTATGTAACCCATTGCTTAAATCAGCCTCTGTACCAGATGACTGGTGAATAGCTAATATAATGCTGATTTTTAAAAAAGGCTCCAGAGCGGATCCTGGCAATTACAGGCCAGTAAGCCTAACTTCAGTACCAGGCATATTGGTTGAAACTATAGTAAAGAACAGGATTATCGGACACATAGATGAACATGATAAATTGGGGAAGTGTCAACAGGCTTTTGTAAAGGGAAATCATGCCTCACCAACCTATTAAAATTCTTTGAGGGGAGTCAACAAACGTGGACAGAGGTGATCTAGTGGATATAGTTTATTTGAACTTTCAGAAAATCTTTGACAAGATCCCTCACCAAAGGCTCAAAGGAAAGTAGGTGGTCCTGGGATAAGAGGACCTCTCATGGATCAGCAACTGGTTAAATGATAGGAAACAAAGGGTAGGAATAAATGGTCAGTTTTCACAGTGGAAAGAGGTAAATAGGGGGTCCCCCAAGGATCTGTACTGGGACCAGTGCTGTTCAGCATAGTCATAAATGATCTGGGAAAAGGGGTAAACAGTGAGGTGGCAAAGTTTGCAGACAATAAAAAATTACTCAAGCTAGTTAAGTCTAAAGCTGATTGCAAAGTGTTACAAAGGACCTCACAAAACAGGGTTGGCAAGAAAATGGCAGATGAAATTCAATGTTGATAAAAGCAGAGTAATGTACATTGGAAAATGTAATTCCAACTATACATACAAAATGAAGGATCTAAATTAGCTGTTGCAGTCATTGTGGATAGTTCCCTGAAAACATCTGCTCAATGTGCAGCGGCAGTCAAAGAAGCGAACAGAATGTTAGGAATCATTAGGAAAGGGATAGATAATAAGACAGAAAATATCATAATGCCACTAGATAAAGCCATGGTAGGCCCATATCTTAATTACTGCATGCAGTTCTGGGTGCCTCAATCTCAAAAAAAGGTATATTAGAATTGGAAAAGGTACAGAAAAGGGCAATAAAATTATTAGAAGTATGGAACAGCTTCCATATGAGGAGCAATGTAAAAGGACTGTTCAGCTTAGAAAAGAGACGACTAAGGGAGGATATGTTAGAGGTCTATAAAATCATGACTGGTGTGGAGAAAGTGAATAGAGAAGTGTTATTTACCCATTCACATAATACAAGAACCAGGGGTCACCCAATGCAATTAATAGGCACAGGTTTAACACAAACATAAGGAAGTACTTCTTCACGCAATGCAGTCAACCTGTGGAACTCATTAGCAGGGGATGTTGTATAGGTCAAAAGTATAACTGGGTTCAAAAAAGAATTAGACAAGTTCAGGGAGGATAGGTCCATCAATGGCTATTAGCCAAGATGATCAGGGATGCAACTATATGTTCCATATGTCCCTAAATCTCTGCCTGCCAGACACTGGGACTAGATGATGGGATGAATCACTTGATAATTGCCCTGTTCTGTTCATTCCCTCTGAAGCACCTGGTACTGGCCACTGTCAGAAGACAGGATATTGGTCTAGATGAAGCATTGGTCTGACCCAGTATGGCCGTTCTTATGAATCAACCCCTCATTGGTCAGCCTCTCAGCTGCGACTTCAAGTTGGATCCTGCTCCCATGGAAGCCCCTGGGTTATTTGCCGTTGCCATTGATGGGTACAGGATCGGGTCCTTTCTGCAGAGCGACACAATGTGTCAGAGCGGGAACTCTGGGGGTGTGGATAAGACTCCTCCTGGAGCTGTGTGGGTGGGATTTTCAAAAGCCTTATTACACTCTCCCATCGGAGACCACTGTAAGGCTCCCGCTGACTTGGATGGGAGCAGAGTTAGACCAATGCTGAGCAGTTTTGAGATCCCACATCTGGAAGTTTTCCACCGTTACTGCACTATTCAGACTCCATAACCCAGATGTTGGCCGAGTCAGTTCCATGTCTGGGCAATAATATCAGCCTTTCACCCCCAGCTTCCATGTAGAAAGGCCCCAAAGATTTTGCATTCACTTCTGCAGCCCCGTTTGGTAGTAGAATTGCCAGCAGCCTGAGAAGAGGCTTCCCCTTCTGGACTCATCATGAGTCGGCGAAAGGCATGTTCGACATGGAGGGGGGTGAGGAACACCAGCATGGCAAAGAGCTGGCAAACCAAAGACACACAGTAGGCTGCAAACTTCACAAGCCCACCACACAACACTGCCAGGTCAGAGTTACTGCTTCAAAGCACTGGGCGACCTCTTTGGACAAGCCCTGGATTGGGGTGATGGGAACGGAGACCTGTGACAGCACCAGAAATGTCTTCTGAGCATGCCAGGCCTCATTCTCTTTTAAGAGGCCTTAAAAAGCAAATGCCATTTATGCCAGAGTGGCATAAAGAGGCCATAGTGTAAACAAGAATTGGGCCCACCAGATTTCACTCAATGGGTCTTCTGGATTGTCAGCGGCACTGAGTGACTGAAGTGTCTTCTAAAATCAGGCCCGTGGACATTAGAGATGGAAAAGAGCTATTTGTTCATGTAGCTTGGCCCCTCCACAAACGTCAGATTGTTCACTGAAGTACATTATATAGGGCTTTGTGCAGTATAATTTCAAATTACTCAAGTGATGGGGCCTCACAACTTGATATCTAGGATCCATTCATTTTGCAAGGACTAGTTGATCTTCTGCTCTGAGACATTCTCTTGAGCCACCCTGTCTCAGTGTTCGTCATTCATTTGTTAGTAATGCATGTTTATTGGCAGGGGGGAAATGTGATCTTTGCAAACAGGGCTAGGGAGGGGCAAGGGGTTCTAGCATTATACAT